GGCTCAAGTGCTCTTATCACCACCATTTAAGAGATGAGAAAATTAAGATACAATAAGGTTTAGAAACTTGGCCAACGTCACACAACTGTAAGACTTGGGTTCAACCCTGGACATGCCATATACCAGGATTCTACAGCAAGCAAGACAGATACTGCATGCGTTCTACCATCAAGTTTGAAAAGAAGAGCTGACTATTTAGAATATTAGAGCAGAAGTTACCTTAGCAATCGCCTAAGGCAAGCCTTTTATTCACAAGATGAAGAAATGAATGCCCAGGACATCTAAGTAACCACTCCTCTTGCGCAACATCCTGCCCTGATGGTGATCTTTGAAGTTACGAGGCCATGTGTTAGCTTATCTCCTTTTGACAAATGAAGAAATGGGCTCAGAAAATTTAAATGACGTCTGCTGGACCTCAGGGGCGCGAATGAGCCAGAATCTGAAACCTCTGGGCTGTCTCCTCCATGACAGAAACTGGAAGAGGTTCTACATTGTCCAGAAACAAGAATGAGAGCTTGGGTTTTTCCTCGTTCTCAAATGAAATTGTGATCTTCCACCAAATGGTTGCTACCTGGTGTTGGTTTCACTGAGATCCTCTTTCCAGGTCTAAAATGAGCATTTTCACCCCCCTGGAAAACCACAGGACTCGAATCCAGACTGGAAGTGGCTTTGCTTGGGTCCCTCCCGCCCCCAGAAAGCAGAACCTAAGACAAGGACTCAGGTATCTGGGAGGTGATCCCAGGAAGCAGAAGATTCAGGAGAGTGAGGGAAGGAGGAAAAGGCAATATAAGAACATGTTACCAAGGTCACAATTGTGTGTATAGGGCCCTGATTCCATCAGAACTTTCTGTAGGAGATATAGAATGACTTAGAGTCATCCACTCAAGGGCTGCAGCCACAGCCACAACTGGAATCAGAGCTGAGCCTGCATGGATATGAGTCAGGTCCCCATAGATGTCTGAGCCTACCGAGAAAGGAACCTTAATCTGAGACCAGAAGGATGAGTCAGGATGAGAGGAAAGGAAGCAGGGAGAGGAAGTCAAATGCTCCACTCAGAAAGAACAGAATGTTCAAAGGCTGGAGACAGGACCTTTTCATAGAACTAAGGGGAAAAAAATTTACCTGAGCCTGGAGCAGAAAGAACAAGAGAGGAGGTGGTGAGCTCGTGGGAAATAGAGCCTGGAGGGCCCATGAAGCCAGTTGAGGTGTCATCCAAAGGACAATGGAAGCCACTGAACCGTTTCTCATGGGAGAGTTCATTTTCATTTCTAAAAATGGTTATACTTTCCCCTCAGCAGGTAGGTTTCTTCTCCACCCAGCAAACTTCTCCACCGGAAATGCAAACATCAAAGTGGCAAACCAAACATTTATGATAACATCTGACATATGTGGTCTGCACACATGGGCTTTCAAATGCCAAGATTTTCTTCTACAGATGCAAATACGGTCTACAGATTCAGTTCTGGAGGACTGAGCATCAGTTGCAGTCTCCCCTCCCAACACGGGTTTTTAGAAATGAGACAGAATATGGCTTTGATCCATAATAATGTTAGAAAACTGGAAGGGGTTTTCTTATGGATAAGAAATCTTGGAAATTTTCTGAAATATGAAAAGCAGCCAGATCAGTTTTTTGTTGTTGTTGTTGTTGTTGTTGTTTTTGGAGTTGGAGATGAAGTCTCACTCTGTCGTCCAGGCTGGAGTACAGTGTCACGCTCATGGCCACCCAAACTTTGGCCTGCTGGGCTCTGACGATACTTTGGCCTCAGCCTTCCAAGTAGCCAGAACTACAGGTGCACGCTACCATTCCTAGCTAATTTTTTTTTTTTTAATTATAGAGACAAGGGCTCACCATGTTGCCCAGGCTGGTCGTGAACCTGCAGGCTTAGGTAATTCTCTTGCCTCGGCCTCCCGAAGTGCTGGGATTACAGGCTTGAGACACTGTGCCTGGCCTGGATCAGATTTTTAAAGAATGCCTATACTGAAGCACACATGCAAGAGGACTCTTTCATAAAAGAGGGAGATGGGAGGTGCCTCCAAGAACACTCAAAGTCTCCAGAAAGCCTGAGAGCAGGAGAGGCTCTGAGCACCCAATAGTAAATGAACAGGGGTACCAGAGTAGAAGCCATGAGGCCAACACTCCCTCTTCCCACTGCCTCTTGGAGTAGCAGCAGCAATAGAGATGTCTACCTCCATGTCGGAGAAAACATTATGAGCCTTTAGGACAGAGAATCTGGCTAGTGTTCCAGGGGACTGGTGATACCAGGAATGAATGAGGAGCTCCCTCCCCAAGAAATTTTCTCCTGGTGACTGATTCTCACCCTCATACTGGTGGCAGAATACAATAAACAGTCAAAGACAGGCTAACAGGGATTCTCAAACACAAAGATGATCCCTCAGCTGAGAATCATCAAGCAACTGTAGAAAGCCAGCTCTATGCAAGAGGCATCACTCTTACCAAGCACAGAACTTACACCTGAGGAAATAAAGCTGCTAGACTGAGCTGAGCTGAATAATTAACATTCTTAGGGATATGCACGATTATCCTACTGCAAACATTATAAATTATTTTTATTTTAAAAAATGATTTAAAATTGATAATTGAAAAAAATCAACATATAGGCTAAGTAATAGGATGGACTGTCAAAGAGCAAATGTGTGAGTTGTAAAATCAAGCCAAGGAAATCTTCCAGGATGCAACTAAGATGTTTTGGGTTTTTTTGGTTTGGGGGATTTTTTTTGAGTTGGAGTCTCACTCTGTCACCCAGACTAGAGTGCAGTGGCACACTCATGACCATTGTAGCCTTGACTTGCTGGACTCAGGCGATCCTTTCACCTCAGCCTTCCAAGTAGCTGGAACCACAGGTGCATGCCACAACACCCAGTTAATTTTTTGATTTATTGTAGAGACCAGGTCTCTCCAAGCTGCTCAGGTTAGTCTCAAACCCCCGGGCAATATTCTCGCCTCTGCCTCCCAAAGTTCGGGGATTACAGGCATTAGCCACCACTCCCAGTGCAACTAAGATTTTATTAAATGTGGAACAGAAGTTAAGAGATATCAAATATAAATTGGACTCCAGGCTGGGCGCGGTGGCTCAGCCCGTAATCGCAACACTTTGGGAGACTGAGGCGAGAGGATTGCCTGAGCCCAGGGGTTCAAGACCAGCCTGGGCAACTTGGTGAGACCTTGTCTCTACAATAAGTCAAAAAATAAGCTGGATGTGGTAGCGCACGCCTGTGGTTCCAGCTACTTGGAAGACTACAGCAGAAGGATCATCTAAGCCCAGCAGGTCGAGGCTGTGGTGATCATGAGTGTGCCACAGCATTCCAGCCTAGGCGACAGAGTGAGACTTCAACTCAAAAAAAAAAATTAATAAAAATAAATTGGACTCCACCAGAATTAAGAACTTCTGCTCTTCAAAAGACACTGTTAAGAGAATAAAAACATAAGCCCAGACTTGGAAAAATTCTTTGCAAAACACATTCCTATCAAGACTTGTATTCAGAATACATAAAGAACTTTCAGAATTCAATAATAATAAAAGAAACAACTCAATTTAAAATGTGTAAAAAATTTAAACAAACGCTTAACTAAGGAAGATATATAGATAACAAACAAGCACATGAACACATCCTCAATAATATTAGTTACTAGGGAACTACAAATTAAAACCATAAGGGATTTGATACTACTATACATCTATTATCATGGCAAAAATTAAAAGACTGATCATACCAAGCACTGGTGAAGATGTGGAGGAACTAGAACTCTCATATACTGCTGGTAGAAATATAAAATCATGCAACCATTTTGGAAAACAGTTTCTTTAAAAGTTAAACATATACCTGCCATGGGATTTAATCATTTTATTCATATGTATTTATCCAAAAGAAAGTACCCATCATACAAAGACTTGTCCACCAAACATTCATAGCAACTTTATTTGTAATAACCCTAAATTGGAACAACTCAAATGTCTATCTATAGATGAACAGATAAACAAATTGTTGTATATTCATACAATGGAATACTATGCAGCAATACAAAGAAATAAACATAATGAATCTCAAAACGATTATGCTGAGTGGAAAAAAAACAGGCAAAAAACAGTACATACTGTGTGATTCCATTTATATAAAACACTAGAAAATGTAAACCAGGTGCAGTGGCTCACACCTGCAATCCCATCACTTTGGGAGGCGGAGACAAGCAGATTGCCTGAGTCCCCAGGTTTGAGACCAGCCTGGGCAACATGGCGAGACCTTGTCCCTACAATACATACAAAAATTAGCTGGGCGGGGTGGCACACATCTGTAGTTCCAGCTACTTAGAAGACTGAAGCGAAAGGATTGCTTGAACCCAGCAGGTCAAGGCTGTGGTGGCCGTGAGTGTGCCACTGCACTCCAGCCTAGGCAACAAAGTAAGACTCCAACTCAAAAACAAACAAACAAACAAACAAAAAACTCTAGAAAATGCAACTAATCTTTAGTGACAGAAAGTAGATCATATGTTGCATGGGATCAGTAGTGGGAGGGACAGAAGGGATGGGAGGAAGAAATTACAAAAGGACAGGAGGAAATTTGGGGGAGTATTGGATATATATTGATTGTGGTGATGGTTTCCCAGGTATAGCTATGCCAACACTTATCAAGTTGTATTCTTTAAATATGTACACTTTACATCAATTATACCTTAATGGGGATATTTATACCTTAATGGGGATATTGCTATGTAAATATATATGTGTGTATATATGTGTGTCTGTATATATATATATAATACATGTTCCTTAGATTTATTTGGCCATGACCTTTTCCCCTATTTGCCGAACCTATAACCTATGACCTATTACTCCCGTTTGCCAAACCATGGCGTATTCAATGAGACAGATGACATAGGACTGATCCTGGCTCCACTCTCATACTGGCCGTGCCCTTCAGTAAATGACTTACACTTTCAGAGCCTCAGGTTTGTTGTCTTTAAAACTGAATTGTGGTCAGGATTAAATTAGTGAATACCAAATGCCTGCCACATAGAAGATTCTTGAAAATTTAGCCACCAATCACTCCAGAAATTGAACCAGCCATGTTTATACTTTCCCCAAAGGCATTAAATTTATTTTTCGCTAAAGACACCGGCATTCAGTCATCTTGAGGTTGACGGTCCAAGGGGAAGGATGTTGAAATGCCCAGCACTGCCCTGCAGGCCCATCTGCTCTGCATTAACCAGCCTTTCTCTATTCATGTGTTAAATCTCCTCCAATTCTTGTGTGAAAAATTTGGACACACAATAACATTTTTATCACATTTTCAAAGTCTGGGCTTATTCTGGAAAGTTTACACCTTTTTTCTTGTTGACATTGTTTTCATGTGGATTCAGATTTCTGATAAAAAGCATTTGAAACACTTTGCTGAAAAGATTTAGGTGTAAGTTTGATGAGACAAATATTGCCAAAAAAAAAAAAAGAAGAAAATGAGGTTTCAGAGGAATTGGAACCACACCAAGGGGGGCCTGTGTCATTCACCAGCTGTGTAGGGGCAAGGAGGCTCAGGGTAGTGGTTGGGAGCCAGGCTGGGTGGTATCTCTCCTTCAGAGGTAGAAGTTAAATAATACTGAAAAGAATAACAGAAATCTGCCAGTGTTGGGGTGCAGAAAAAAAAAGTCACCGAACATTACAAAAATAAATACATCATAATAACGATATCGGTTACAATTTCACTGGATGTTATTCGTGTACCTGCTTCACTAAGTGCTATATTGTTTACTTATTTATTTAGATTTTATTTTTTAGTTAGTTAGTTTGATTTTTTATTTTGTGTGTTTGTTTGTTTGGTAAAGATGAGATCTCACTATGTTGCCCGGGCTGGTCTCAAACTCCTGAGCTCAAGCATATGTAATGCCAAAGTGCTGAGATTACAGGTATGAGCCACTGCACCCAGTCAGTGCTATTTTATTTAAACCTCACAACAAGCCTTGAGTTAAATATAGAGTAAGTGAGGACTCTTTCAACCATAAGTGACGAAAAGTATCCGCCTCAAAGTAGCTTCAGCATAAAGGAATTTGTATTGGATATGCCCATTCAAAGTCCAGATTTAGTTCTGGCTTCAAGTGAGACTTGATCCAGTAGCTCCAAAAGATGTCTCCAAACATCAAGACTCTCTCCCTCTCCTTTCTGCCTTCTTACTGGTTTTCTCTTTGGGTGTCATACAGTCAACCCAGGTGTTTCAGGCTATCCTGTGGTGGCAAAAAGGTTGCAGCTGTTCCAGACCTCACATTCTTGCAGAAAAAGAGAGAACAAGTCCTGGAATTCGCTCTCATTGGTCCAAAAGAACACATTACTGTGGCAGAGTAAGAAGTTGATTGGATTAAGTATTAAGGCCTGGGGCTGGGGGCAGGAGTGGTCCACAACCAGGGACAAGGGGGGAGCCCACCCCAATCAAAGCTCCAGTCTGAGAAATGGGAGACGTGGTTTCCCAAGGGAAAAAATAGATAAAGTTAATCATAAAAGGGAAAATGGATGCCAGGGACACATCCAGCAACTACCCACTAGAGTTTTCATTCATTCATTCATTATAAAATGTGCCAAACACTGTTTAGAGGCTGGGGACACATCATGGGACAAAAAAATAAAAATAAAATCTTTACGGCAGATTCTGCTGATGTCCTCACTGCATGTCTCCTTGACCCACTTGCAATCATGTTGGACAGTTTCCATGCACAGGGACTGTGTTCATCTCCCTGCTTCTCCACTAGAAGGCTTTCTGTGGCACTGGGGAAGTTTGCTCAGCCTGTGCACAAGGCAGTCTGGATGTACCAGAGGTTTAGTGCCCCCAGAGACACGTACAGGCAACAATGAACAGGAGGTGGGGACAGTGTTCCAGTTTTCCTATCTGAAGTTAGGAAAATTCTGAAACCAGTTCAAGAGAGCTTCTCGGAGGATCTCCAAAGGACTTTCTGCATCAGTAATGAGCTTATTCGTGCATCCTTTATTGGTTTTACATTCTTTCCTGGTCTTTCTTCCCCAACTCCATTCTTTCTTTTTTCCTTTTTTAATAACAGAAGTAGTTTATTACTCACAGATACTTGGTTCATTGGGAAGGTTGCTGGGGAAATATGCTTAATCAGCAAAGGGGAGCCAAAGAAAGATGGACTTATAGGCTGAGACCTTTACTGGGGTATAGGGCATTACTCAATTAAGAATTCTAATTGGTGGATTTAGAGCAAGTACTCACACATCTCACAGCAACTCCATTTCTTGTACTGCTCAGGATTACCTCCCAAGTGAACAATCTGCACCAAATCTTCTGTCTTGGGGTCTGCTTCCAGGGGTACTCAAACTCAAACCATCACTGTCTTCATAGGCTTACATTCTGGTGACAGGAGGAGATAAATAATCGACAAAATAAATGAGCAAACTACCATAATATTATATGGAAATAGGGGTTGTGGAGGAAAGAGGATAGGAGATGGGCTAGTTACGAGTGCCATATTAAGGCCTCAAGGAAAAGGTGACCATTGAATCAAGGCCTGGAAGAAGATGTGTCAATCAAGCTAAGCTGTGCTACACTCAGCTAACAAGCAACTCCCAGATCATAATGGCTTAAACAACAGAGGCTTATTCCTCACTAAAACAACATGTTCGTTGCAAGTCAGCTGGGACACTGCTCTACACGTGTTCGTTAGTAACCAGCTGAGGAGACATAGCTGGCTGTTCTGGGAGACAAGAAAAGAGAATTCTAGAGGGTCTTCCATTGTCAAGTACAAGCTCTGCCATAAAGTTATACACATCATCAGTTATTCTCATAACTCATTGTTCAGAGCTAGTCATGTGGCCCCACAAATTATAGTCGATGAAGGAAGTACAATTTACCAAGTTGCTGGATGGTAGAGAGCAGAAAATAGTCTGAAGACAGACCTAATAACACTACAGTTCACCCTTCTGATCACCAAATATTCAGACAAAATATACAGACCCTCTTTCTTTTTTAAAAATTTTAATTTAATTTTAAAGTTGTGAGGCACAAGTCAGGATTGCATACATAAGTGATTTAGGTACTGGTGAAGTCTTGGGTCTCTTGGACCTCACTTTGCCTGAATTAGGATCAGGCACTTTCAGTGATGTTTTGTGCACCCCCCCTTCCCCCTGGCAGTATCCCACTACTGCCAATCCCTTTTTTTGTAGTATTATGATAAGTGTTCAGGGTTCACTTATGAGTGAGAGCATGTGATAGTTATTTGTTTCTATGATAGATCACTGAGTAATATAGACTTCAAATCCATATAAGTCGCTGCAGAGTCCATAATTTTGTCCTTCTTTATGCTGCATAATATTCCATTGTGTATGTGTTCCGAATTTTCTTAATGCATTCCACTTTCGATGAGCAGCACAATTGATTTCATATTTTTGCTATTGTAAATAGTGCTGCAGTAAGCATGTGTGCACAGATATCTCTTTTGTAGAATGATTTGAATTCCTCTGGATATATTCCCAGAAGGGGAATTGCTGGGTACAGGCCCTCTTTCTAAGGAGGGGGAAAAGATCATGGCATCAAAGTCAAAGTCTATCAAGGAAATTTGTCTCTACATCAGGTTTTGTTATGGTCTCTCTGGATCCAGAGACATATAAGACAAGTTGTCTGAACCCACCATGAAATACATAATGTATGGATTTCAACAAAAAATGACAAGGCATACTGAAAGGCAAAAAACACAGTTTGAAGAAACTAAGTAAGCATCAGAACTAGACAAATATTGCTTGTTCTCACTCATATGTCGGAGCTGGGGGGGAAGTGTATTTTATGAAGATAGAGCAGAGATAGGTGGTTATCTGGGGTTGAGAAGGAAGGAGGGGGGAAAGAAGAGAGGTTAATTAATGGATACAAATATAAAGCCTTAAAGAAGAAATAAGAACATGTTTAAGATTAATAGGGTGACTATAGTTTACAATAATCTATTGTACATTTCAATAAAGCTAGAAGAGAATAATTTTAATGTTTCTAGCCTAAGTAAAATACAAATATTTAAGGTGATGGATATCCTAATTACACTGATTTGATCTTTATAAATAATATAAATGGGCGGGGCGTGGTGGCTCATGCCTATAATCCCAGCACTTTGGGAGGCCGAGGTGAGAGGATGGCCTGAGCCCACGGGTTCGACACCAGCCTGGGCTACTTGACAAGACCTCATCTCTACAACAGATCAAAAATTTAGCCAGGCATGGTGGCACGTGCCTGTAATTCCATCTACTTGGAAGGTAAGGTGGAAGGATAACCTGAACCCAGCAGGTCAAGGCTGCGGTGGCTGTGAGTGTGCCACTACACTCTAGCCTGGGTGACAGAGTGAGACTCTGACTCAAAAAAATTACAAATTTAAATAAACAAATAAATAATATAAATGTATTACATTTTCACATGTACCCAAAAATATGCATATCTATTATGTACCAATAAAAAATAATTTTTTCTTTAGTCAGATGTTCACTCTGTTGCCCTGGCTGGAGTGTAGTGACACGCTCATAGATACTGCAGCCTTGACCTGCTGGGTTTAGGTGATCCTTCCACCTCAGCCTTCCAACTAGCTGGAACCACAGGTGTGTGCCATCATGCCCGGCTAATTTTTTGATTTACTGAAAAGATGAGATCTTGCCAAATTGCCTAGGCTGGTCTCAAACCCCTGAGCTCAGGCAATCCTCTCACCTCTGCCTCCCAAAGTGCTGGGATTACAGGCATGAGGCCTCACACCCAGCCTAGAAAAAAAATTTTAAAGTAAAGGACAGGGTGGCATCCTACCATGCCAGGCACCCACCACTGAAGCCTGGGCTACATCACCTGCCTACTTGCCTGTGCCACCTAAATCCACACTGGCCATCCTGAGCCAACCACCTTCCTCCGCCCAAGAGGTGGCACAACATCAAGCTGACCTTGCTAATGCTTGTAGCCACGGTACTGAGCATCTTGCTGCTGATGGTGTGTGATGAGTTGGGACATCCGCCATGGGGGAGGGCCACACACCAGCTTGATACAGACCAGCATTTCGTGTGCAATCTTTAAAAATCTAAATTCAATTTTCTGCAGGAATCTGGCAGAAGACACAGAATCTCAGGAGGGAAATCAAGAGCCTTCAGGGTCTGAAACCAGATAAGACACTTCATTCTCTCCACACAGGATCAGACCCACTCCCCAAAGGAGAACACCTGCTGATAAAGACCACTGACAACAGACATAGTCCTTTATTAGTGAAAGTTGAAAGACAATTGCCAGCCTGTCTTTAGTTACTTGACTTTGAAATCTATTAAAGGACTGAAGAACAATTGTACTTGAATTTTAAATGCAAAAACAAAATGAAGGACAAATTGATTTTCTCAGACAAACAAAACATAAGAGAATTTGTTACCAGTAGACTCGACTTGCAAGAAATGTTAAAATTCATCAGAGAGAAGAAAATTATATGTCAGAAATTCAGATATATATAAAAAGAAAGGAAGAGCATTAGAGAAGGAATAAGTGAAGGTAAAATACAGTTTTATTTGTCTTATTCTTAATTGATCTGACAGATAACAATTTATTCAAACTATTAACAACAATGTGGCTGGGCCCAGTGACTCACGCTTGTAATCTCATCACTTTGAGGGTCCTAGGAGGGAGGATTGCTTGAGCCCAGGAGTTTAAGACCACTCTGATCTATAAGGAACTCAAACACAGGGAAAGGAAAAAAACAACCAACCCCATTAAAAAGTAGGCAAAGGACATGAAAAGATACTTCTCAAAAGATGACATACAAGCAGCCAACAGACACATTAAGAAATGCTCAGCCTCACTAATCATCAGAGAAATGCAAATCAAAACTACAATGAGATACCAACTAACTCTGGTAAGGATGACTATCATTCATTAGTCAAAAAACAACAGATGCTGGTGTGGGGGCAAAGAAAAGGGAGTGCTTCTACACTGTTGTTGGGAGTGCAAGCTAGTTCAACCTCTGTGGACAGCAGTGTGGCAATTCCTAAAATAACCAAAAATTGACCTTCCATATGATCCATCAATTCCTCTCCTGGGAATATACCCAGAGGAACATAAATTGTTCTATTAAAAAAAGACACCTGGCTGGGTACAGTGGCTTAAGCCTGTAATCCCAGCACTTAGAGAGGCTGAGGTGAGAGGATTGCCTGAGCCCAGGGGTTCGAGACCAACCTGGGCAACTTGGTGAGATCTTATCTCTACAATATATCAAAAAATTAGCCAGGTGTGGTAGCACACATTTGTAGTTTCAGCTACTTGGAAGGCTGAGGTGGAAGGATCGCCTGAGCCCAGCAGGTCAACGCTGGGGTGGCTGTGAGTGTACTGCTGCACTCCAACCTGAGTGACAGAGTCAAACTCTGACTCAAAAAAAAAAAAAAAAAGACCCGCACACACGTTTATTTCTGCACTATTCACAACAACAAAAACATGGAACCAATCATATGCTCATCAAAAGTGAACTAGATAGCCGGACTCGGTGGCTCAGCCTGTAATCCCGCGCCTTTGGGAGGCTGAGGTGAGTGGATTGCCTGAGCCCGTGGGTTCGAGACCCGCCTGGGCAGCGAGACCTCATCTCTACAATAAATCAAAAAATCAGCCGGGCGTGGTAGCACACACCTGTAGTTCCAACTACTTGGAAGGCTAAAGTGGAGGGATCGCCAGAACCCAGCAGGTCGAGGCTGCGGTGGCCGGAAGTGTGCCACTGCACTCCAGTCTTGGTGACAGAGTGAGACTCCAACTCAAAAAAAAGAAAAAAAGACAGGAGCAATGATAGTATGGCTGTATGTCGATGGATCAGTAGAGGGGTACGTTGATGATGACAAAAGTCTTAGGATATAATTTATAAAGACAAGGCATTTAGTAGAGGTTAAAACTGTGTTGACCAAGGTCACAGGCAGAACTTCCTGGAATGCATATTAGGTTTCTAGCTCTGCCCATAAATGGCCATAGACCTGTGAGCAGCTTCTGCCCCAGCTGCCAGGGAAATAGAATGCCACAGAAGGAAAACACAAGTGAAACTGCCTCCAATTATCAGTGCACAGGATTAGATGTGAATGGCTGAAGCCCTGCCAACAAGCTGCAGCTATGACAGCTGTCTGGGAGAATCAGGAGGCTCTCAAACAAAAGCATGCCTCTGAGAGCTTCCATGAAGCCTATCTGAAAGAACAGTCACATAGCTCACAGACACAATGTCTAGACCAAAGGCAGAGGGCAGAGGACCCCACAGAACCTGTTACTGCTGGCAACCATAGCAGCCAACCTAGGACCTATAAAAACCAGAAAATGTGCTGGCTTGTGGATGAAGAAACATCTCTCTCCCTTCTCACTTGTAGTAGTGTGGTCTGTGCACTGGCCCAGTGTGGTCAACATTTGTTTAAAAAAAAAAAAAATAGACACTGTTTTCTACTTCCTTCACAATGTGACTTTGCAATTCCTTTCCATAAGAGGTAGAATCTGTTTCCCCAGCCCTTGAGTCTGGGCTGGCCTTGTGACTTACAGAAAGTAGTAGAACTGATGGAGTGTGGGATCTGAACCTAAGTCTCAAGAAGTCGCGTATGCTCTGACTTGCTCTCTCAGAGCCCTGCTGACCTGCCACGTAAATAAGCCTGGGCTAGCCTACCAACTAGGGGGCACCAGACAAAGCAAAGATAAGCCATCCTGTCCCCTAGACCAACCAGCCTCAGACAACACAGAAGTTAGTGGCAGTTGAATGTGTAAGCCCATCTGAGAGCAGATGAACCACCCAGATGATACCAGTCCAAATTACAAACCCACAGAACTGTAAACTCAATAAATAGTTGCTATTTTAAGCAGCAAACACTAACATATACCCAACTAAATATCCACAGATGACCAAGGAAACTTCAGTCACTGTTGGCTTACAATCTGTGGTTAAGAATTACTCAGTGAAGCCGGGCTTGGTGGCTCAGCCTGTAATCCGTGCCTTGGGAGGCTGAGGTGAATGAATTGCCTGAGCCCGCGGGTTCGAGACCCACCTGAGCAACTTGGTGAGACCTCATCTCTACAATAAATCAAAAAATCAGCCAGGCGTGGTAGCACGTGCCTGTAGTTCCTGCTACTCAGAAGGCTGAAGTGGAAGGATCGCTGGAGCCCAGCAGGACGAGGCTGCGGTGGCCAGGAGCGGCTACTGCACTCCAGTCTGGGCGACAGAGTGAGACTCCAACTCAAAAAAAAAAAAAGAATTACTCAGTGAGACTTTTTTGGTTTTTAAAATTGGCCAAGCCAGGCACGGTGGTTCAAGCCTGTAATCCCAGCACTTTAGGAGGCAGAGGTGAGGGGTTTGCCTGAGCCCACGGGTTCAAGAACAGCCTGCAAAACTTGGTGAGACCTCATCTCTATAATAAATCAAAAAATTAGCTGGGCATGGCAGGGTGCGCCTGTTGTTCCAGCTACTTGGAAGGCTGAGGCAGCAGGATCACCTGACCCCACCAGGTCGACGCTGGGGTGGCCATGAGCATGCCCCTGCACTCCAGTCTGGGCTATGGAGTGATACTTCAACTCACTCACACACACACACACACACACACACACACACACACATACAAAGTAACTTCTTGGGAGGGCTATAGACATTAAGGGGAAAGCAGAGCTTAAAGGCAAGGATAGGGCAACCCCCTAGAGTCTCCTTCCACTGTGGGAGCTTTTCTGTCCTCTCAATAAATCCTGCTTAAAAAAATTAATTAATTAAAGGCAAAGATAGGCCAGGCTTGGTGGCTCAGCCTATAATCCCAACACTTTGGGAGGCCGAGGCCAGTGGACTGCCTGAATCCGCAGGTTTGAGACCAGTCCAGGTAACTTGGCAAGACCTCGTCTCTACAATAAATAAAAAATTATCTGGGCATGGCAGCACATGCCTGTAGTTCCAGCTACTTGGAAGGCTAAGGCAGAAGGATCACCAGAGCCCAGCAGGTTGATGCTGGGTTGGTCATGAGTGTGCTACTACACTCCAGCCTGGGCAACAGAGTGAGACTCCAACCCCCCCCAAAAAAAAGGCCCAAGAGGCCAGGTGCAGTGGCTCATGCCTGTAATCCCAGCACTTTGAGAGGCCAAAGTGGAGGATTACTTGAGCCTAGGAGTTCAAGACCCCTGGAGCCAGGCGTGGTGGTTTATGCCTATAATTCCAGCACTTTGGAATGTGGAGGTGAGTGAATCACACAAGTCCAGGGGTTCTAGACCAGCCTGGGCAACTTGACAAGACCTCATCTCTACAATAAATAAAAAAAATTAGCTGGAAGGCGAGGTGGAAGGATCACATGAACTCAGCAGGTCGAGGCTACAGTGGCCCTGAGGTGCCACTGCTCTCCAGCATGGGCAACATAGCAAGATCTCATCTCTACAAAAAATATTTAAAAATTAGCCAGGCATAGTGGCACATGCCTGTAGTTCCAGCTACTTGGAAGGCTGATGTGGAAGGATAACCTTAGCCCAGGAGGTCGAGAGATTTAGGCTGTCATGAGCCATGATCATGCCCCTGTACTCCAGCCTAGGTGACAGAGTGAGACCCAAACTCAGAAGAAAAAAGAAAGAAAATACACTGACACAAAAGAATATGGGCTGAGACCAAGTTTGGAGATAAAAAGCAAAAGCCCGGGGACAGGACTAGGATGGGTGGGAGTATGCCCAGAGGTACACATGCAGGATGGTGCACTGCTATGGTTTGAATGTCCCCTCCAACATTCATGTTGAAATTTAATTGCCATTGTAACTGCATTAAGAGGTGGGACAATTAAGGGATAAGTAGGCTATGATGGTTCTGCCCTCATGCACTGATTAATGCCATTATTGTAGCAGTGGGCTCATTATCACAGAAATGGTTTCATAATAAAAGGA